CCTCCTCCTCCTCCCTGTGCTGGGAAATAGTCCTGACCGACGGCGATTATTACAGGCGGCATGATAGGCTCTGCTCCTCTGCTCTGACATGTTAATATTACATGGAACTGTTAGAGATGACAATGAGCCTGCGGCAAGAGGGAGGCATTCAGATATTTTCCCTCTCTGCAAGATTCACCTATTTTTTCGTTTGCCCCTCCATCCATTGCAGTGACTTTAAATAACTCATGGCCTCATTATCCAAATATGGGAAAGCACAGAGTAGCATATGATTAATTCAATTTTGGTCTATTTATTTCATATCTGGTTTTGTTGCTTTACACAGATTTTTGCAGAAAAAATAATCAGACAGTGTTCTTTCCTGAACACAGCCTTCCTCAAGTGTTTCTATGAAATGTATGAATCATCCTGAGACAACATTTAATCCTGAAATGACAGTTCATAGACTGAGTATCTTTCATGTATGGTAGAAAAGACAAAAAAAATGATACAATCTGTCTTCTCTTTGTTTCCTGGGGTGAGTTGAAAGATCATTTGTCTCAAAGGAAAGGTTTCCTGGGGCTGCTTTACTTTAAGTCTAAAGTAGAGGTTTTCAAACTTCAGGGGGAAAAATTGCTGATATTTTTCAAAATCATACTTCAAGTTACCAAACAAGTTACAAAATAACCAAATATTTTCACTCTTGGATCATGTTACTTTTACAGTGCAGGAACACTGTTAAAATTACATAGTAGATTCATTATTCATTACTCTACATCAAATGCCCAAATCTATAGGAGATTAATCATATGACTCAATAGGCTAGGTTATGCTTACGCTAGCATAGCAGCATCCTGTGTGTAAGAGTATTGCACAAGGTAAACCAACACGGTGGCAGATGACCATTCAGACGAGAATTCGTTTTCTCTCCTCAAACTAAGTGAGACTTGATCATAGCATGTGTGCGTGAATACAGTTTTGCCCACCACCAAGACTATTAATCATAATCACATGAAGCACCTAGCCAAATAACTTGCTTCCACTAAGCCTCACTTGGATTAAGGTGACCAGACGTCCCCTGTTTCTGGGGACAGCCCCCATTTTGGATGACCTTGTCCCAGGAAGTGTCCCTGATTAAAGCATTTTATGAATAAGGACAAAAATGTTGTGTGTAGTCTAGGACAACAATTACTACGGTGGCTGAGTAGGTAGAAAGCACGAGGAAGCATGTTGCGCGCAGTCCTGAATGCATTTTTCGAAGAAATACCTGAGAGTCAAAAAATCCTTTGATTTCAAAAACAGAATTTTTTTTTTATTGTTTCCTCAATAGACATAAAGTAGGTAAAATACCCAACTGGTGCACTGAGAAGTACCTTGATGTGTTTTTTTCTGCCCCGTATCTCCTCTTTCTCATACAACATTCAGCATTTCTCACTTTCAAACCTGATATCTTTCTACTTGCTCGTCTATCTCCTGCATAATCTCCCTCCACCATCCCCTCGTTCCCCTCAGTTTCTCCATTCATCCCTCCAAGGACACATCTAGCGGGTCATTATCTTCTTCCTGCTGGCATAAATTTGAAACATTTTCACACAGACTCGCTCACAAACATAAACACCCAAATGTGCTCTCACTTTGTCAAGGGTATGTGCTTCAAGGAGTCAAATGGGTCTAAACTTGAGGTCATTTCCTTCTCCCGTGCCATGCACGTGCCTTCTTTTATAATGTTGCATACAAACCCACGTGCATGCGGGATCACAAACTAACTCACATCTGTCATTTTCAGCGCAAGGTCCGAGTCAGCTCAGCAACAATTGAAGGGGTGAGGAGAAGGCGTCAGGGAGGTGGCTTGTATGACAGCGACACAAAGGCACCAGTGTTTAGTGAAGGAGGTTGTATCATGCATTAGGCTGCTGCTCTTGCTGCATCGGCCTGCCACAGAGCTGAGGTAACCATGGCAACAGGCTGCTGGGAGACAGTGGAGCGAGAGTCAGCATGCTGGAGTCAGTGGGCCTTCAGCTTTTGAACACCAAGAGAGATTAGCTCTGAGCAAAAAGCCTAAACCCTCACACTATACGCAGCTCCATGACGGGTATTGATGTTGGAGGAAGTGGGAAGTAAAAGCAGCGGGGATACACAAAGTTTTCTAGGCACAGATCCAACAAAATTGTTGACATCAAAGCACTTGTGCAGCACATCCTCTTAAACCCAATGCTCTTGGCGGTATGAAATGTAAAAATTATGCATGAAGCATCAAACCGCTGAGAGGATGGATAGTACAGGAATGAAGATAAAATATCTCTGATATGTCAGCAATCAGAGTAAATTGCATCATTTGTGAGCATCAGATCAACCCAGAGATTAATCATATTGTTTAGAGATTTGAAACTCATTGCCCTGATGTCTGCAGCAGATTGCCATGGCAATGGAAAACAATGAGCGCATAAGAGATGAAAGGAGAAGAGCGTTGCTTACATAACAAACCAAGGGCAAGACATGAGGAGATAAAATACAAGAGAGGGCTGGAGAAACACAGAGAAATTAATCGATTTCAAGAAATCAAGAGTGGAGGTAGGAGAAGGAGGAGATGAGGACAAATCTCAATAATGTAGAGAGGTAAAAACAAGCACAGACCGATTGATTTCTTATCCTTCAGAGAGCTTTTAGCCTGGCTTATGAGGTCATTGATGCGATAAAATGTTATGAGATCTTTAGAACAGAAACACACAGAGGCACGGACAGGATGTTGTGGCGGTAAACACCGCAGGAGAGATTATTTACTGAAGAATCGTGTCATGAAATAAACATGAGGAATCATCAGAGGGGTTCTCTTTACTCTCCTCCTTAATCCACCTACTCAAGTAGGACATGACACCTACTCCCTCTCTCTCTTGCAGTCACTCTCTCACTTTGTGCAATTTGTACATCCTCCTGGGAAGACACTAGCAGTGCCCACACTAATGTTGGTAAAACTGAAGACATGCGCAAAGTTTTTCAGCCTCTGTTTCAACCTGTTGAACGGGGCGTAAACTATTCATCAAGTATTGAGTCATTCATTGTTAAGAAGATCTAACACTTCTTTTATTATTTTTTTTATTTTCAATCTCCCGTCAGGTAGAGATAAAAAATGAATGGTCTTATCTTCCATTCAGCTGTCAGTGTGTTGTTCTAAATTTAATGCATGCTCAAGGCAACACAACTAAAACTAAAGGTATTGCACACAGTGGAGACACTCAATGAGGGGCTGCAGCCATGTGTCCGGTCTCCACAAACTTGTCTGGGGTCACAATACACAACACTAAAAACATGGAGAATAGGAACTTTTTACCAAGACACTACCCTGGCTTTGAATACAAAGTGGAAAGAATGGTGAAAAGTCAGAGAGATTTTCCAAACTGGCAACGATGGCACAAACCTAAAACAGTGGTATCTTCTCAGCGTGTGTTTTCTGCTTCTAAATAAAAAATGTAAATGCATCTTTTTGTGAGCGTCTTTATTTGTGAAAAAGGGTGTTTGTCTTACCAGTGGGTCCAACATTACACACACCAAATCCATCTGTGCTCATATGAGAGAGTGTGAAGGACGCCCAATCCAGCGCTTACAGTGACACTTGTTGAGGAGCTGCCTTCTGTCGCCATCGTGTGGCATTACTGTCTTCAGACATCTCTTGATCTCTTTGACTACTCCACGAAAATAGTAATACGCCTCGCCAGTGGCAGATTTAAAGGCGAGGAGAGGAGCTGATTTTATTGGTCAATACAGGTCTCGGCTGTGTTAAACCCACTCCACGCCCTCTCTCCTCCCTCTCTACGACTTACGTCGCTGGGAGGAGCTGAGTTAGGGAGGGGGGATACTTTCACCGGGCTGCGGTGTCTGAAATACAGTTTTTGTTTCACCTTAAGTTGTTGCTCTACATGACTGCAGTCAATGTCTGCAGAGATTTTAGTGAGTCTGCTCCAGCTGTTGATGTGCAGAAATATGTTTTGCAATCCTGTCAGTTATATCAAGTCTGTGTCTGTGGGGAAAAACATCAATACTTACATTTGCATCCTTGCTTCATATTTTCTGATCATTATCTAAAAAGAGGTCATCCCAACATGGGAGGCAAAGTAGCGGCAGCCTAAGAGTAACTATGCACTGTGTCTCTGTCACCATCTATTTCTCTTTTCATCACCTGTTAACAAGTTAGTGTGGCAACATTTTGTGATGCAGTGTGACACCTTACCCTTCATGGGCTTTTCTACGCTAACACTTCAAAGAGTCGCCACGCTGGAGCGCATTTGATGTCTCTCAGGTGTTGAGAATTCAAGGAGTCTCATGACTATTTTGCTGGTGTAACAGAAATGGAACAGCAGGGAGGCGTTTTGAGCCCTGCAGTCCTCAGCTTTGGCTCAGAGTGAAACGTCTCAACTACCTTAATGTGATCACATGATAGACCATGATTATATTGTGTCGACAACTTCAATATGATCTAAAACAAAATTTTGCAGGTTCCTGGAAAACAATCACACTCCAATGGCCCAAGCCTTCAACCTCAGACCATAAAATGATGAAACCTTTTACAAACAGGTCTTTCATGATTGCTTAAAACTGGGGAAAAAACATATTCGCTTTCACATGCTACTATATTTATATATAAAAAAAGAAAAAGGAAGAAAAAGATACTAGTCTCACAGTCAAATAATGACAGTCAGGACTTAAGCAGTGGCAGTCATGACATCTCCTGTCTTGAGGTCCTTACACACTGTGGCCAACACAAATATAGAACGCGTAATTACTAAATTTTCGGAGGAGAATTTCGACGTGCCTGACTGTACACATCAAGCCCAATGCGATTTTGCTACTTTCCGGATTGACACAACAGCAGACTGACTGTTTTTCAGTTCTGATTCGACATTGGTGTTGAGATGACTGTCTGTAGCATGTATCATACTATTCTGCTGGACTATAGATAGCATGTACTGAGTCAGGGCCAGTAGCAGATAAGCACATTAAACTATAATCCATAAACGTAAGGTATCAACCGAGACCTAATGGTGCTGTGACAGCAACGTGATTGAGTTTGAGACAGTGAAAATACATATGGTATGTTGTATCTGAACAGGTTAGCTTACGAACTAAAGTTACTTAGCACAGATGAAAGTTAAAACAAAGACGTTTAGCAAACTGTTAAAGCACACAAACCATCGTCATATGAGAGATCCGACGCTATGACTCTCCACAAGTTGTCCTTCAGGTCATTATCTTTGTAATGTTTGTGTCTTTTTAAAAAAGCACTCTGTTCTCCGACACATAAACAATTAGCCGGTCGGCCATGTTGGATATACCAGTGAATCAGACGTCGCAACAGCACGCAATCTGATTGGTCAGAAGTGGACACACAGTATGCAAAACTTTAGAGAAAAATCGATCATGATCCGAAAAAATAAATGCTGCGATATCGCAGGACGGGAAAATGTTGCTAATGTGAACACTTGTATTGACAGGATACGGGTCCTTTTTGCTCTTTGGTACCAAGGGGATGTTTAAAACCTTTGTCAAAGGTTTATAGTCTGTTAGCCGGCAGGGCATGGAAAAACTTTGGATACTATGCTCATCACTCTTGAGGTAATAGTAGCTGTGGATGAATCCAAACCCGAGGCTGGAAATGCCTCCAGGGTCACACCATTTTGCTACTTCAGGTGAATTATAAAGTGAGTTGTACTGCCTGTGTAATTAAAAACAGCATGGCACATTTTGCAAATTGCATCTGGCTTGTCAAGGTTGCGTGTCTCCCTTGTAAAACCTGTAGTGTCCTCAAACTTAATTTGATGTGGTGGGTACACTCACTCAGCATACATCTGCAATGCACATATAAATAAAAGTGTGCATCTGTGGCACACACTGACATAATGTGGGTTTGACATAAGAGGATAGATAAGAAAATAATACTAAAAACATCCTATGCGAAGAACATTTCCAAATAATGGCAAAGAGCATCTCATTTTTAATGAATCTGACATTTAATAACCCAAGCATTCATGCACAGCTACCGTAACCATGCACCTGCGTCATACCAGCATGTGTCTGAGTATTGATATGAATCATTTAATCTTCCCATCCCAAGCATCAAGGCTGACCAATATGCCAACTTGGCTCATTCGCTGATACTACAATCATATTTTATCCAATCTATAGTAAACACACAAACACACAAGCTTTACATACTCACATGCTTACACACAGACCTGCACCACTGTGTATGCTCAATTGGTTCACTATGATCCCCTGTCACCCCGTACTTTCAACGCTGGCTCAGAGGCGGGTTGACTTGGCAATAAAAGCAGAGTTGTGTGTTTATGCAACTTCAGTGGAGTTAAAAATGATGACATTGTCCAACTGATGATCAAGATGCAAACGGCAACGCTAGCCTTGAGAATTGAGTTCTGCTGACTGCAAACAGACCTGACATCCAAAGAATGAGACAAAGAAAGGGTAATTTGTCCTCCTGAAATCTCATTCGTCTTCTTTTACAAAGACACGGGTTGGCACTCCATTGGTACCTTTAATGGAAGACCTGTTTTGGTTTGGTATAGTCTTAAACCCTCTGCTGTAAAACATACTCCCATAGATTTATGAGAGTTTATAAACAACTCCATTTCTCATCCATCATGAATAAAAAAATACAATTTCAGCATCTTACGAACATTATGCACCACAATTTGTGTTGCTTTAACTTTGTTGAAGTTTTTGTCAAAGCAGATTATGGAGAGGAAAATAGTTAAAAAAAAATGAGGCCTGGACTAACTTGAAATCTGTGGCATGGTAGTTGTTAGTGTACCCACAGCTGCAAACCTCTGTGATGGATGACGGTGGCGTGGCATTTTGCTAAAAAAACAAATTGCTGCAGAGAGCTGCACAGTGTGCATAAACCCTGCAGATGAGGGATAGCTTTGATTATAGTAAACATGTGGCTGCATACACACACACACACACACACACACACACACACACCTACTCGTACACACAGATATTCCTTTGAGAATCACTCCAGTTGGGATGCTGGAGGCCTTACCGACAGGCATGTGAACTCATGTAAGGGAGGCTGAATCTATAGCCTGAAGCACTTTTCATTATTCCAGCACACTGATCATTCTGATGCTACCCGCACCTCCTCAGCTAATACAGCAGGAAATTTATATTTACCAGCCTGAGGAGACACATCTGCAGTATATAAAATACATATAGCAGATTTTTGAGGAACAGGTTTGCCGCAATTTAACCAAAGTTACAAAAGATTTCAGAAAATTTAAAAAAGACAAAATAAACAATCAAAAAGAATGATAGCCAAGATACAGTAGCCATCTTTCAACCAAGTAATTACTTTCGCTAATTTTCTAATTGCTTTCAAAGTTTTGATTATTTAATTCATAACTGACTGCGTTAATAGCCCTTTTTTCTCGTCTTTTTCCATCCAAGTCGAGCTGAGACATTTTTTAATTGCAAGGTTTTTTGCAAACTCCAGTGCAGCCCGGCCCCTTAGGAGCTGTACTTTCCTCTCCCCAAATATCAATCACTTGAATGAGATTGTCCCATTAAAAGAGCTTTAATGCTCCTAATCACTGAGGCGGGAGGAAAACAGTGAATCAATTAAACAGATTTGTGTAAGAGGAGACACTGATATGACTTCACATGTCATATGTGGGGACTTTAAATGTGGCTGACAGGCTTTTTTATCCTTAAGGTGTGCAGGTTGGTTGGATATCCCACTTTAAGTGCTAATTACTTAACAATTTAAAGCTGGAGGCTGCACAGAAAGTATGTTGATGGTGCTGTCATGTTATCATCTATTTTTAGCAAGCCTTTAAGTGCAAATATTATTATTTCTACGGTCCTTGTGCGCACAGTCTTTTTGTAGTGCCCTCTACTCCCCTTTTTACCCACTATTGGAAGATGGATGTTGAACATGACTGGTTCTGCTGAAGGTTTCTGCCTGATGAAAGAAAATTTTCCGAGTCAATGTCACCAAATGTTGCCTATTGCATGCCTAAAGTTGCCTAATTGGCCCCCGTCAATGATATACAGTATCTTGCTGTACAGTCAGGACCTGCACCTTTAATGTAATTTGGCACTGTATATATACAGTTTGATTGATTGAGAAATCAGATAGAAAATGGAGAAAGCCCTATTGCTCTCTTTATGTGCCAGAATTCATCACTTTTAGCCCTTTACTGACTCTTAAAGATTCACTCTGATGAAAATCATGTTTTTCTTGTTTTTACGTGTTCATATGGCATTTTTCTGATGCTACAGGACATGCCATGAGAAAACTAAATGTGAAACTGCATTTTGGAGTATATCTGTATTCAAATCACTGTGAATCTCTGGCAGACCCAAGCAGCAGGGTCAGATACAGTGAGATATCCTACGAAGCAAATCCAAGCTCCACCCTTGGAGCCCCACAATGCAAATGCTGTCTCTGCCCACAACTCAGAGGCGAATTGCTAATGAGCTACTGGTGCTCTGCAGAAGAAAAGCCCTTAAAAATGTCACGGATAACTTGATTTAAAACTTCATAATTACAATTTAAAGACCACTGAGAACACTTAAAGTAGTAAAAAATGGGGCTTTAAAGTCTTTGACTTGCCTGATTCCTTTGAGCTACCAGTGTCTGTGGTTATACCTATGTTCAGATCCACTCAAACCAGTTAAGATAAAGAACATAAAGATCATCAATAGGGCCAGTAACAGCAAGAAAAAAAAAATACTTCAGGGTGCTTTGTAACATGCACCTATAACTGGGACAATCACTGTCACTGCATCCTCTCTTTTCTTTTCTGTCTACTTTGGGAAACTGCTCTACCCATTGAGCACTAACTGAGATCAAAAATAGAGTTAAAGCTGACATAAGTGTACTTACACAGTGTACACAGTTATGACATAAGCATGTCGAAAAAAAGTCTTTCCTAAATTTGACAAATGGTTTATGTAAGTGGTAAAAGATGGACAGAAATGATTATGGTGATGGCATTTCTCCAAAGTAATTTTCCATTACTGGCTGAGATGTAGTCTGTGCAAAGTTGGAAATGCCAATGCAATTACTTTTTTTGAAATACAAAATTACACTGCATTGGCTGCATCAGGGACATTGTAAAAACAGCCATTTTACACATCCAGCTATGAAGAAGAAAAAAAGAATGTATGCTCAGGGACCTTAGCTGTGCAGTTTAAACTACGATGGCAGAAAAACTCCTTGATTCAGGTGTAGTTGGCTGATATTTAATGCAAAAAGGGACTGAAGGAAACCTTCAAGAGCAGCTGACGGTGATGACACTGGACTAAGGCATTGACTTCTTGAAACTGAACACAACCTGCGTTTTCCTTTTGTTGGTCACAGCAATGCACTGTTCACGTATGAAACGTTATTTATGAAATTCAAAAACTGCTGTTCATTGATGTGTGTTTATTTTTTTGACCACTTAGTAGCTGTTGAAAGAAAAAATCTTTTTGAATCAGTTTGGAGCAACATTGCACAGACGCCCATATTTCTGTTTTCAAAAATCTTATCAAAGGGAAACTATTCTAGATGTGGACGTGCTGACTTGATTAAATGGCTAATTTAGGCTTATCACTCAGCAGCTGCTTGCAACAAAAAAAAAAAAAAGAGAAAAAAAAAAGGCAATTTTTTTATATAACATTTCAGTCCGTTGAAAGCTTTTCTGTTCAAAATACCACACTTTGAATAAAAACCCTTCCGTTGTTGCTAGTTTAATTTATGCATTTTAAATCAGATACAACTTCCATCTGACATTTAGAAAAAAATAGTGTTTCAGGAACCAAAAATATAATTTATGCATATATAAACTTTCAATACCAGTAGTACTCCAGAAATGGGTGTAGAAGAATTCAGCATGCCTCGAGTATAAATCATACTTGGTTTGTAAAGTGTAATGACGAGAATAAGTTTTCAGTCTGTGCTTTCTCAACTGAAAAAAAAAAAGTTATATTTAATATGTTCAATCATAAGTAATATCTCCAAAGATATATGTGGGCTACATATGACATCTGATATTGTGTCACAGAAATGTTGCAGTGACTGGTTTCTCTTGGTGTAACAGAAATCCACACAAGATTTTGTATGTATCCTCCATCTCTACCTCCACTCCTGTCAGTGTTTCTGTCACCTGCCAACACTGTACAAAAATATTTTGGAAAGGCACACCTCAGTGCAGGATGAGATCCCTGCTGCTTAAACATGGCATGGCTGTCAGTCTAGACCAACAACTTTACCTGGCTGCGGTCTAGTTTTCTGCTCGGCCATGGGTGGAAGGGGGAAGGACAGGCAAACAGGAGGAGAGGAGGCAGCTGCTGCATATTTCATAAAGGTGTTGTGGACATTGCAGCTAGCCTGCTGAGAGAGTGGGGGGCAGCGCTCATGCTTGTTATCTATTCTGGTTTTCTATTCTTACATGCATGAATCGTATCAGTTAATCAAATACCTCACAGTCTAAGTCATGCTGACTTTCATTACAGAGGCATTGCCTCAGATTTTCTGTGGTGTTTAATGCAAACATGTGAGGAATATTTATGGAGAAAAGATGGTCATGAAAAGTAGATTGTTACTGTGCTGCCAACTATAGGCATGAGGAACGTCGCCTCCACTACAGCAGGTGGAAACATGCCCCCTTTTCAGCTTGTTACTATTGGGTCTTTCCTGGTTGATGCACCAAAACAGTTGGTAAAACATGTCAGCAAGAGGCTAATGGGATGAAATGATGGAAACGCTAGGAAAATGTTGTGTTTTTTCACGTCCTGTCTTTGTCATCGAGGTTTTGTCAACCACCGGACTTCTTTGTAACCTCTCTGCTGTAAGAAAACTGGTGCATGCACTGTATGCTTAGACTGGTTTAAGCCATTGATTGAACATTCCACATAAAAGAGAAAATTGATCCCCATCATCCACATTACCCAGGTACACCGATCCAACTATGAGAACCTTGCCTTATATTCAGACAAGGCAAGCGCTAAAATACATTTCATAGATGTAGCCATCATGTTTCCGCCTCCAATTTTGCTTTTTTCCAGCTTGGTAACTGAAACGTTAACTCGGGTGCAACGTCACTTTCAGCTGGGACTTCTGACTTCCGAGGTAACTCAAACGCAGCATAACATGTTTACCAAAAGTCCAGATTTAGTCAGACTAAAGGTCCTTACACACCGAGACAGACGCAAATATATGATGCAAAATTACCAAATATTTTGGGGCGATTTTTGATGTGTCTGACTGTACACATCAAGCCCAATGCGATTTTGCAACTTTCTGGGGGAGAAAGCACATTAAACTATATATGTAAACGTAAGGTAACAACTGAGACCTAATGGTGCTGTGACAGCAACACGATTGAGTTTGAGACAGTGAAAATACATATGGTATGTTGTATCTGAACAGGTTAGCTTATGTGCTAAAGTTACTTAGCACAGATGAAAGTTAAAACAAAGACGTTTAGCAAACTGTTAAAGCAGACAAACCATTGTCATATGAGAAATCCAACACTATGGGCTCTATTTTTGTGCGCGCCGATGAGGCGGCGGAGGGCGGCGAGCCCCGCGCAGTTGTATTTTCGTCTGGCGGAGCCCAGCGTAAGGCCAGTTTGGTATTTTCGTGGACTGAGCCGCACGGAGGCGAGCCGAGATCCGCCAAGCTGGGCGTGGTGGCGTGGCAGGGGGAGGTGTCGACAGAATCAGCTGGCGCAGTGACATTTTCGTGCTTGCCACCAGCGTGTAAAGTGCGCTGAAAGCTCGCCGATTCAAACCTGGTCAGCTTTCAGCGCAAGGCGGAACGCAGCTGGTCTAGTGGTATTTTGGTAGACCGGCGGCGTATCGACATACGTCACTGATGCCTCACCAGCAGGTTTCCACAGTGTCAGGCACATTACAGTGCAATAAATAATCAACAACAACTAATAATCTGAGTTAGCACATACATTTAGATCTATATAGATATATTCTGATCTATATCTGATCTGATGAGCGCGTTTGGCACGCGTTTGGACACACAACCTGAGCGATCAACACAGCTGAAACCACATCAAATTAAATTAAATATCTAGTAAATATACACACATGATGAAGTTAACAAGATATGTAATTCATCTCCCTCCTTTTCTTTCTTCCTCTTCCTCTTATTTCTCGCACAGCTCGACCTGGACATGTCTCCGTGTCCTCTGTCCGTCTTGCTGCTGCTGCGGCTGAACAGATGATTTGTTTCACTGCTCAGATGCGTTATCTACTTTAAGCCAACATACGGATATTATAATATTCAGTTTTGTGGGCCAAATTTATTTTATATGCCAACATCTATGAAAGAAAGAGCCAGGCCACGGAGCGCGATGCGTCATTTACGCACAGATGGTTCCGATTTTAATGCCATTTTTGGAGTTTATGTTGTGATCTGTGCGCTCAACCGACCTTTGTCACGTGAGGTTTGAATATATGCAACTTTATGTGAGTGTCTTTATTTGTGGAAAAGGGTGTTTGTCTTACCACTGGGTCCAACATTACACACACCAAATCCATCTGTGCTTATATGAGAGGGTGTGGAGGACACTTGTTGAGGAGCTGCCCTCTGTCGCCATCTTATGGCATTACTGTCTTAAGACATCTCTTGATCTCTTTGACTACTTCATGAAAATAGTAATACGCCTCGCCTGTGGCGGATTTAAAGGCAAGGAGAGGAGCTTATGTGATTGGTGAAAACAGGTCTCGGCTTTGTTAAACCCTCTACACGCCCTTTCTTCTCCCCGTCTACGACTTATGCTGCTGGGAGGAGCTGAGTTAGGGAGGGGGGATACTTACGCCGGGCTGCGCAGCTCACCAAAATACCAAAATGTGCTTGGGAACGCCTTGTCAGCGCGGCGGATCTGACTGACGCTGCGCTTGCGGCACATCTCTGGCGAGGCACCAAAATAGAGCCCTCTCCACAAATTGTCCTTCAGGTCGTTATCTTTGTAATGTTTGTGTTTTTTATCAAAAAGCACTCTGTTCTCTGACATGTAAACAATCAGCCGGTCGACCATGTTGGATATACCAGTGAACCTGACGTCACAACAACACAAAATCTGATTGGTCAGAAGTGGACACACAGTATGCAAAACTTTAGATAAATCGACTGTGACCCGAAAAAAATAAATGTCGGAATATCACAGGACAGGAAAACATTGTTGATATGAACACTTGTATTGACAGGATACGGATTCGAAAAAAATAATGACGTCCGAAATTATCGCACGAAAAATACGCTCCCAGTGTGAAAGGACCTTAAGTCAATTAATACATTTTTGGACCAACATGTAAAGCTACAGATTGGCACCTGTGTTAAACGCTGAGCAACAAAGTATCTAACACTTTGCTGTACTTTTGAAAGCAAATTAAGTTTTTTTCTTTTTGACACGGTCGACAAAATCCCCAGACAAATTAGCAAACAGGAGAAAGATGTTAGGAATAGAGGGTTTGTTGGTTAAAGCTGTTGTCCTCTGAACACACAGTCAAGCTTGAAATAAACCCTTCATGCTAGCTCTTGGTATCACTGAATTTTAAATTAAAAAAAGCAATTACATTCATTTGAACATGTTGCAGCTTAGGATCTCAGCTTGATTTCAAAGGAGGGTAAATGAAAGAGGAAACTTCAAAAGCAATGATAGCCTCTGCTCATGTGAGGAGGATAACTGGGAGAAACTCTCTTGATACAAGAAGTGACTGGAGCAGTTGTTTAAGGAGAGTCTGAAAGCTGAGGTATTCATTAAATTCTCAAGTCGAGGTTATAAGTATAGAAATGTTGGGTGCAGGAATACTTGAAAAGAGTATGTGAGAGTTATCAGTTGATGTTTGATAAATAAGAACACCATTTGGCCCCTCAAAGCATTTTTACCCAGCAGCTGGTCACACTCAGTCAAGTTGTAACGTGTTCATTTGATCATAGCTCTGCCTCAGTGCCCTCACTTACTGATTAAAATGGCGCAGAGCAGCAGGCACTCATCCAAGCTTCAGCAGTGCCCCTGGAAACTTACAGGATGGCATCAAAAGCCAAATGCAGGCTTTTCCATGCTCTATGGTTTGTGATTAGAATGCGCTTTTATTTATCGCTTAAGTGGCCTTTGTATTTGTTGGGCAGAGCACTCTTCCGTACATCAACCTCTGGCATTTTGAGGCAAAGAGGAAGTGTGCTTACATCTCACTGCCACCGCGCAGCAGACAGCTTCAGTTCCGGTTCAAATGCTCCGTCCTCTGCTCCTCAGTGGGATTATGATCGCTCTGTGAGATGTCAACAGGAGTTAATGAATATCCCTTTTCTCAAAGCCTAGGTAATCCTGCCAACAAAATGCCCCCCTCATTGATAAGATCTGCCATAATACCAGCAGGGAGACCACTGGCATCATCCAGCTCTCAGCCACAGAGGGATTTTTCACGCTTTGATGCCTAAGCTGCGTTCCTTTTTTTCTTTATTTTGTAACACTGAAATTGGGTGCAGTTATTATTGGGGGATTTGTTGCTGGTGGCGGCAATGAAACAGTCTACCTCCTGCATAATCTACCCCCCAGTACAGCAGCACTGTTTTTTGTCTGGTTTTATCAGCATTCCTTTCTTCTGCTCTCTCTTTTCTTCTCGATCCCTAATTCGTTCTCTCTCCACACCTCTCTCTCTCACTCTCTCTCTCCAGTCCTCATCTCCTCCAAGGTGTGAACACGTAATTGGCTGATCTCCTTCATATAATCCCTTTGTGGTGGGAAATGCATTTTTCTGCATTAACATAATACAAACCCTGAATTTGCATTTTAAAACACTGCGCTTATTTCTCAAACATTTCGGGAGACCGGGTTCTTTTAATCTGCAGTGAATCTTTAAGTCTACACTCTTGGCCTTTGGGCTTAGCTCTGCAGGACTTCAGGGTTTTACAGTACAGTAAATCTGAAAGAGAAACTTTGACTCTTTATCCTTGAATCAGCAGAAAATAAACTTTGCATGGTTGTTTACGGGTTGCATGCATTGACATTTACCTCTGACATGTAAAATAAACACTGAAAAAAACTTCCTATGACTGAAGACATACCTGAATCATACTTGCAGACTTATAAATAGTGTATGCATTGTGTGTGTGTTAAAAAAGCATTGGTCTAGAAGTGAAACAGTCCATGTTGTAAAGTTAGATTCAATGACCTCTTACATTAAAAGGCCCACAAAAACCCTTCGTAGATGCTGAAAATGCCAAGCACACTGTCTTGTTCCACCATTATAGAACACATCTACACTGATTCTGTTCAGTCCAGAGTTCATGTCAGTTTTGGCGCCCCCTTTGGTCAAAGTAGTCTCTTTTTGCATTGTCTCTTGTGTCATCTGCCACACATCTCATTTGGCAGTCAAATGAAGTATTTATTGTGATTTTTTTTGTGTTACTGGGCTGACACCTCCCCCCTCACACCAATTTAAGATAATAAAAATTAAAGTCTGAATACTGTCAATCTTGTCACTTAGTCTGGTCTGCTTTTGTATACCAATAAAAGGCATTAGCATAATTCTTCTGTTTCATAATCATTAGAAAACTCCCTATAAGAGCTTGGTTGTGTTCAAATGGATAAAGTATGATCCCATGTAAATGGAGCACTTATTGTACTAAGTACTATTGTACTAAATACCTAATAATACTTAATAACTTGCAGTCTACGGTACAGATGACAGGTCTGGTCATGTGTATCCCTTTGATCTGTTCTACAGGAACATACTCATATGGGTCCATCTTCACACATTACACTCTGAGATATCTTGTTTTTTGGCTGTTTGACAGCTGTTCAGTGCCTGTGCTGCATTGATAACAGCTTTCTTGAATAAAAGGCATCACCACTGTGCTCTAGTTGTGGGTGAACGTGTCCTACTTTTGTGAACTTTGGTTCACACTGTCACTCCATCTTTCATTTCCTGACATCACAACAGTGAGTCACAGCTGGCCTCAGTCATGAGGGCTTTGCTTGCTTTATGGATAAGTCAGGCTGTACTGACACTTAATTACTAAACCCTAAATAAAAAGCAATCCCACTATTTCCATTTGTGTTATATACATTTATAAAAACGTCTTTAAAAGTTATCAAAACATGACTGAAAGAATACAGAGGGTTTTTTTGTAGGGCATATACCAAAAATTCTCAGTAACTCTTGGACAAACTACAAAAAGAAATCTGAGGATCTAAAGGAGAAAGACGAGACATAAGGGAATAAAGGGTCAAAAAATAACCAGAGGCTAGGACCTGCTAGAGATCAGAGAGAATTGTCAAATCACTAAGCTATTTAAAGTCAGACTAAGGTTTCCACTGTAGAGACCAGTATAACTATGTGAATCTTTTATCACCAAAAACTGACACCATTAAGTGGTCTTAAATTTAAATCTCTCTGTCCTTGCAGATCTTTATTAACCCTGATATTACCAGACTTCTTGGTTCTACTGGGAGTATTCAATGTCTGATCCCAGGCAGGCTAGGGCCCTTTATGACTTTCAACTTAATGATAAAGATTTTATTGTTATTAATTTTAAAAGGGGTTTTAATTAGTGTAGGGATGCTCTGCTCACTAAAATGGGTCCTGTGTGTTCCAGCAAAAAAATGTGGTGGCTAATTATAAGACTTGCTTTAAAAAGGAAGAAGACAGCAAACGCACCCAAAACAGCACGTAACTCTGCTAGTCATCTCTCTCCACAGTTCCTGCTCGTATTTAATTCAAAACCCTGCTGCTTTCTTACAAAAAAAGCAACTAAAACAGCTTCTGTTTTCATCTGGAAAACCTCATCCAGGTCTGCACTCCCTCCTTCCTACAACCAACAAAAGGCACCTAGCACTCCCATCACAACAGGGCCCTAAGTCATCAGCCAGACTTCTCTTTCCTGTTTCCCCTCAATGGTGGAATTAATTACTTACTCTATTCAATCTATAGAGTCCATTTTAACCTTTAAATAAAGGCTAAAGACCCGGCTCTTTCGTGAACACCCACACACACAGAAGCCAGACTCTTCCTCCCTGTAATCCCTGGAGGTAAAATGGTTTAACCAACTACATCTGATCCTCAGAGTCCCTTTCTTCATTTGAGAGAGTAATTGACCTGCTCTTTTGTGAACACCTCCACACTTAATGACATTGATGCTAGTCAGAGACGGTTACTGTTAATCCATCAGCAAAGGCTTTGATTTTCTATTATGCTTAATCTTTTAATTCCTTTCTAAAATGAACAGAAGTTAATATTAACCTTCATGCTAAAACCTGTTGAATAGTCTGCCCCCACTCTTGTCACCACAATCAAAGTCCAGTAAAAATTTAATCAAAACTCATTAAATCCGCAAAAATACACAGACTCCATCAAAACTACAAAGACTGTCTGATCTTACTCAAAATGTCCTTGTCATGTGAGAGCGGGGTTTGATCATTCTTCTTCCTCAGGGTAACAATACCACTGATACTCCTACTGATGGCAGTTCAGGCTCTTTTTTGGCCTCAGCACCATTTGGCTTTCCATACTTCAGAGATTTGTTCGTGTACAAGAGCCCGCCTTTTGGGCCACAGTGATTGCTTTAGTCCTGCACTGAAGTCATGTAACATGAACATGACAACAGAATACAAAACTGAACTTAGTTGAAGCTAAAGTTTTTAATAAATATTTTTCAAAGTAACATCCTTGTCAAAAAATGAATGGAAAAATATACCACACATGATTAACAAGCCAGTAATCTGTTGGTGATAGAGGCATTAATGATGATGCCGACAGTGATAAAAATATCAAGATTCATTAGGATTCCTTTGAAGAAGACGGTTGACGTCATTGCTGTTACCAGGGTGATGACGTTTGTAAAGAAAGTTGTATAAAAGAACTATTCCTGAACACTCTGTGTACTGCCTCCAGCACTGAACACCAGCACCTGTGTCCAACTGGCCTTGAAGCCGTTAGTGGCACTTACTCATGTTGTTCCCTCCTGTCTTTAGATTGTGCTGTTCTTCCTCTCAGATGTACGTCACATTGAATCAAAGT